TGTTAAAAGCATTTGACTTTCACTTGATTCAAAAAGCTTTATTTGAATGTGTTTTACATTCATTTGGTTTAAAAACCTTTGTTTGAATGTGTTTGACTTTAATTTGATTCAATTTCCTTTGTAGAATGCAATTCACTTTCATTTGATTCAAATAGCTTTGTTTGAATGTGTTTGAATTTCATTTGATTTAAAAAGCTTTGTTTGAATGTGTTTGACTTTGATTTGATTCAATTAGCTTTGAAGAATTCATTTGACTTTTATTTGATTCAAAATCTTTGTTTGAATGTGTTTGACTTTCATTTGATTTAATTAGCTTTGTAGAACGCATTTCACTTTCATTTCAAATAGCTTTGTTTGAATGTGTTATAATTTCATTTGATTCAAAAAGCTTTGTTTAAAAAGGTTTGACATTTATTTTATTCAATTAGCATTGTTAAATGAGTTTAACTTTCCTTTGATGCAAAAGCTTTATTTCAATGTGTTTGACTTTCATTTGATTCAATTAGCTTTGTTGAATGCATTTCACTTTCATTTGATTTAATTAGCTTTGTTTGAATCTGTTTGACTCACATTTGATTTTAAAAGCTTTGTTAAAAATTGTTTGACTTTCATTTGATTCAATTAGCATTGTTGAATGCATTTGACTTTCTTTTAATTCAAAAAGCTTTGTTTAATTGTGTTTGACTTTCATTTGATTCAATTAGCCTTGTCAAATGCAATTCACTTTCATTGAATTTAAAAAGCTTTGTTTGAATGTGTTTGACTTTCATTTGATTCAATTAGCTTTATAGATTGCATTTCACTTTTATTTGATTCATATAGCTTTGTTTGAATGTGTTTGACTTTTATTTTATTTAAAAAGCTTTGTTTGGATTTGTCTGCCTTTCGTTTGATTCAAAAGCTTTATTTGAATGTGTTTGACTTTCATTTGATGTAATTTGATTTTAAGAATGAATTTGACTTTAATTTGATTCAAAAAGCTTTGTTTGAATGTGCTTTACTTTCATTTAATTCAATTAGATATGTAGAATGCATTTTAATTTCATTTGATTGAAATAGCTTTGTTTGAATGTGTTTGATTTTTATTTGATTTAAAAAACTTTGGTTGAATGTGTTTGACCTTCATTTAATTCATTTAGATTTGTGTAATGCATTTCAATTTCATTAGATTTAAAAAGCTTTATTTGAATGTGTATAACTTTCATTTGATTTGATAAGTTTGTTGAATTTATTTGACTTTCATTTGATTCAAAAGCTTTATTTCAATGTGTTTAACTTTCCTTCGTTTCAATTAACTTTGAAGAATGCATTTGACTTTCACTTGATTCAAAAAGCTTTGTTTGAATGTGTTTTACATTCATTTGGTTTAGAAAGCTTTGTTTGAATGTGTTTGACTTTAATTTGATTCAATTTCCTTTGTAGAATGCATTTGACTTTCATTTGATTCAAATAGCTTTGTTTGAATGTGTTTGACTTTCATTTGACTTAAAAATGCTTTGTTTGAATGTGTTTGACTTTCATTTGATTCAATTTGCTTTGTAGAATGCATTTAACTTTCATTTGATTAAAATAGCGTTGTTTGAATTTGTTTGACTTTCATTTGTTTCAATTAGCTATTTAGAATACATTTCACTTTCATTTGATTTAAATAGCTTTGTTTAAATGTGAGTAACTCACATTTTATTTAAAAAGCTTTGTTTGAAGGTGTTTAACTTTCATTTGATTCAATTAGCACTGTCGAATGAATTTGATTTTCGTTTGATTCAAAAAGCTTTGTTTGAATATGTTTGACTTTCATTTGATTCAATTAGCCTTGTAGAATGCAATTCACTTTCATTTGAGTAAAATCGCTTTGATTGAATGTGTTTGACTTTCAATTGATTTAAAAAGCTTTGTTTTAATGTGTTTAACTTTCTTTTGATTCAATTAGCATTGTTAAAAGCATTTGACTTTCACTTGATTCAAAAAGCTTTATTTGAATGTGGTTTACATTCATTTGGTTTAAAAACCTTTGTTTGAATGTGTTTGACTTTCATTTGATTCAATTAGCTTAGTTGAATGCATTTGTGTTTTATTTGATTCAAAAGCTTTATTTGAATCTGTTTGACCTCTATTTGATTCAATTAGCTTTGAAGAATGCATTTGATTTTCATTTGATTCAAAAACCTTTGTTTGGATGTGTTTGAATTTCATTTGGTTCAGTTAGCTTTGAAGAATGCATTTGACTTTCATTTGATTCAAAAAGCATTGTTTGAATATGTTTGTTTTTCATTTGATTCAATTAGCTTTATGGATTGCATTTCACTTTCATTTGATTCAAAAACCTTTGTCTTAAAAGGTTTGACTTTCATTTGATTCAATTTGTTTTGTAGAATGCATTTCACTTTTATTTGATTGAAATTGCTCTGTTTGAATGTGTTTGCCTTTCATTTGATTCAAAAGATTTATTTGAATGTGTTTGACTTTCATTTGATTACATTAGCTTTTAAGAATGAATTTGACTTTTATTTGTTCAAAAAGCTTTGTTTGAATGTGCTTTACTTTCATTTGATTCAATTAGATATGTAGACTGTTTCGGGGTTTTCTGATGTCCTGCGGGAGAGTTACAATTCCGAGACTGGAACCGGACGCCTGTACCTGCAAAACAAACGGATGCTCCGGATGATTGGAGATCCGCCTCCGACGGTCAAGTTAGTACTTGATTAAGGAGTAATTAATGCGGAAATTAAAGTGATTGGGTCTCTCTAGGTGAGAGTGTTTAATGTGTGTAATCTGCGTCATCCCCCTTAATGAGGATTAAGGGAGGTATTTATAACCACGGGAAACGTGCCAATCCTAGGTTTAGGTTAACCTTGGGCTGATTGAGCTTCCCTCGGAAGTTGGGCCTAGGTGGCCCACTTCTCCATTAGGCATGGAGTATGCCACGTGTCATGACATAATAGGTCCGGGGTGGACGAATAAGAGTGTGCCACGTGGCAAGCCCTGAGAGGTCCAACTGGGGGACACTTGGCAGTACCTGATTGGCCCACGTGGCGCATTCCGATTGGTGGGAGCAAAATCCCCTAATCATAGACTGCATTTTAATTTCATTTGAGTGAAATAGCTTTGTTTGAATGTGTTTGATTTTTATTTGATTTAAAAAACTTTGTTTGAATTTGTTTGACTTTCATTTTATTTAATTAGATTTGTAGAATGCATTTCACTTTCATTTGATTTAAAAAGCTTTATTTGAATGTGTTTAACTTTCATTTGATTTAATAAGTTTGTCAAAATCATTTGACTTTCATTTGATTCAAAAGCTTTATTTCAATGTGTTTAACTTTCCTTTGTTTCAATTAACTTTGAAGAATGCATTTGACTTTCACTTGATTCAAAAAGCTTCCTTTTAATGTGTTTTACTTTCATTTAGTTTAAAAAGCTTTGCTTGAATGTGTTTGACTTTAATTAGATTCAATTTCCTTTTTACAATGCATTTCACTTTCATTTGATTCAAATAACTTTGTTTGAATGTGTTTGACTTTCATTTGATTTAAAAAGCTTTGTTTGAATATGTTTGACTTTCATTTGATTCAATTAGCATTGCTGAATGCATATGATTTTCGTTTGATTCAAAAAGCTTTGTTTGAATGTGTTGACTTTCGTTTGATTCAATTTGCTTTGTAGAATGCATTTAACTTTCAATTAATTAAAATAGCGTTGTTAGAATGCATTTGTCTTTCATTTGATTAAATTAGCTTTGTAGAATGCATTTCACTTTCATTTGATTTAAATAGCTTTGTTTGAATGTGTTTGACTCACATTTGATTTAAAAAGCTTTGTTTGAGCGTGTTTAACTTTCATTTGATTCAATTAGCATTGTTGAATGCATTTGACTTTCATTTGATTCAAAAAGCTTTGTTTGAATATGTTTGACTTCCATTTGATTCAATTAGCGTTGTATAATGCAATTCACTTTCGTTTGAGTCAAATATCTTTGATTGAATGTGTTTGACTTTCAATTGATTTAAAAAGCTTTGTTTGAATGTGTTTAACTTTCATTTAATTCAGTTAGCTTTGTAGAATGCATTTCCCTTTCATTTGATTCAAATACGTTTCTTTTAATGTGTTTGATCTTCATTTGATTTAAAAAGCTTTTTTTAAATGTATTTGACTTTTATTTGATTCAATTAGCATAGTTGAATGCATTTGCCTTTCATTTGATTCTATTAGCTTTGAAGAATGCATTTGTTTTTCATTTGATTAAAAAAGCTTTGTTTAAATGTGTTTGACTTACTTTAGATTCAATTAGCATTGGTGAATGCTTATAACTTTCGTTTGATTCAAAAACCTTTGTTTAAATGTGTTTGACTTTCATTTGATTATATTAGCATTGTTGAATGCATATAACTTTCGTTAGATTCAAAAAGCTTTGTTTGAATTTGTTTGACTTTCATTTGATTCAATTTGCTTTGAAAAATGCATTTAACTTTCATTTGATTAAAATAGCATTGTTTGAATGTGTTTGACTTTCATCTGATTCAAAAAATTTTATTTGAATGTGTTTGACTTTCATTTGATTCTTTTTTTTTTTGTTTTTTTTTTTGGTAAGTAAGAAATTTTATTAATACCAAAAGAGGATGGAAAGCCCTCAAGAAACAACCCCTAGCCTAAGAGAAGCCACCTTCTAGGAAGGGTGCAACAAATAAAGGAGAGGGGGGGGGGGGAAACTAGCCTTAAGTGGAAAGCACCTTCTAGGAAGGGTCTAGCACACTAGGACTAGCACAAGAGGAGTATAATCATAATCCCAAACTACAACGCCCCCTAGGAGCATGAAACAACACAGGAATCAAAAACAGTAAACTAGCCATACAACTAGGAACAAGGCATGAGACAGAAACAACATAAAACTAGACTGACTGTTTAAGCTGAAACAGCCATCTAACTTGAGCTTTAGACCAGGAACTATTAATCAATTGCTGGCTTCTATCAATAACTTCCAATCTGATGACCTTGCACAATTTCTAAGGGTTAATCACAGTCTTTTGGCAATAGGAGTGGTTCCTAGCAAGCCAGATGTGGTATAGTATCGCAGTGAGAGCAGCTAGCAACACCTTCCTCTTTATCTGATCTTTGATGCCTCTAATCCAAACTTTCCAGGCATCTTCAATATTACACATTCTGAACCTAATACCAATCCAGGCACAAATATTAACCATGCAAACCTTACTGTATTTACACTTGAAAAACAGGTGCTGCAAGTTTTCTAGCACAGAAACACATAACAGACAAGCCTCTTCATTATAGACTCCCAGCTCGCACAACCTATCTCTCAGTCTCAATCTGTCATGAATAGACAACCAAGCTATGAAAAAGTGCTTTGGAATATTAAACTTATTCCAAATCCATTTAGTCCAGGTAACAGTAGAAAGGTCACCCTGTAGCCATTCATAACCGTGCTTAATTGAATAACCAGTTTCAGCCCAGTTGTTAGATTCAAACCCTACTCTCATTTCATCCTTTACTTTGCATATTCTCTTTCAAGCCCAGCCTGAACCCTTACTAGGCACATAATCCCACCAATTCCTATCCTTAATATATACAGCATGGACCCATTTAACCCATAAAGATTCCTTCTTACAGGCAACTTTCCAAACTTGTTTACCTAAAGCTGCCTTATTCCACAGTGAACAATTCCTGATGCCAAGTCCACCTGAACCCTTAGGCTTACAAACCCACTCCCAGGATATAGGAGGGCATTTGGAGAGAGAGGAACTGCCATCCCATAAGAAAGCCCTACAAATCTGATCTTTGCAAGACTGAGTTTAAAAGGATCACTCTACCAGCATAGGAAAATTTTTTTGCTAGACCAGCAATGCACCCTACCCAGCATTTTTTCAATAATGACATCAAAATCACTCACTCTAAGGTATTTAGAATTGAGAGGGATCCCCAAATACCTGAAATGGAACTGGCCTTCAACAAACCCAGATCTTTGCAGAAACTCCTCTTGCCCAGTGTCCTGAACATTACCAAACATTATGGCTATTTTCTCCTCACTAGCTTGAAGCCCCGAGACCAAATGAAAAGTTTTAAGAGCTCTGGTAAGAAGGGAAATAGATCTTTTATCACCATGGGTAAAAAGCATCAAGTCATCAGCAAACACCAAATGGTTCAACTTCAAAATCCTGCATCTGTGATGAAAATTGAATTTCGATTTCTGCCCAATCATTTTCAGAAGCCTGGTAAGGTATTCCATACATATAACAAACAGTAGAGGAGAGAGGGGATCCCCTTGTCTAATACCCCTAGCTCCCTTGATGAACCCATGACTACCTCCATTAAGCATTATTGAGTAAGTGGGAGTAGTAACACAAGCCATGATCCATTTTATAACCATGACAGGGAACCCCAGAGCAGACAACATATTCTCAATTAAAGGCCACTGAACTGTATCATAGGCTTTCCTTATGTCCACCTTAATAGTACACCTAGGAGGCTTCCTCTTATTCTTATAATCTTTTACAAGGTCTTGACAAAGCATGATGTTAGCAAGCATGATTCTTCCAGAAACAAAGGCTCCCTGCTCCTCACCAATAATAGAAAGGAGAACCTCCTTTAGCCTAGCACAAATCATCTTAGAAAGAATTTTAAACAACACATTACAACATGCTATAGGTCTAAATTGAGTCACAGCAGTAGCTTGAGTAACCTTAGGAATCAGAGTTAAGGATGTGGTATTAACCTGTTTCAGAAGCTTCCCATGTTCAAAGAAAGAAAGCACAGCCAGACACACATCCTCCTTCACAATTTCCCAAGAAATCTTAAAAAACTTACTCGTGAAACCATCAGGACCAGGAGATTTATCATCATCAATGCTCCAAACAGCTTTCCTTACATCATCCTCAGTAAAAGCCCTAAAGAGATTACTCTTCTGTAAATTAGATAAAGTAGGCCCCTCATTAATGAAAGATTGATGAATCTGACCAGTATCTCCCCTATCAGACCCCAACAGGTCTTTATAATAAGAGACAAAAGTCTCAACAATCGACTCAGGATCATTCACCATAGCACCATTCTGATCCAATACACTACAGATTCTGTTTTCAATCCTTCTTTTCCTGATAAAAGCATGAAAGTAGCTTAAATTAGAATCACCTTCCTTTAACTAACGAGTTTTATCTTTCTGTTTTAGAAACAGAAACCTAGCTCTATGGGCTTTATTATAAGTCAATCTTGTTTCATGCTCCTGGTTACTCAAGCTTGCATTAGTAGGATCAACATTAAGTTTCCTTTGAATGTCAGCTAAATGTTTCCCTGCAGCAATATCAGCACCCTCAATAGAGGAAAACTGACTTAGATTCAGGGCCTTGAGTTCCTTTTTGACAGCTTTGAGTTTCATAACAACCCTGAACATAGCAGAACCTTGAACTGGTCTTTCCCAAGCATCCTTTACAATAGCTAGGAAATTTGGGGCCTCTGTCCACATATTAAAAAATCGAAAAGGCTTTCTAACATTTCCAACTGTGCTATCCAGATTCATACAACAGGGGGTGTGATCCATAAGACCCTTAGGAAGAAACTCAGCAGAGAAATTAGGAAAATTTGTCAACCAGCCACTATTCATAATCACTCTATCAATTTTAGTGCAAACTCTATCATCCCCTTCTTGTTTATTTGTCCAGGTTTAAAACATACCTCCAACTTTGAAATCAGAAAGGCTATTAACTCTTAGACAATTCCTGAATTGTTCCACCTCAGTAAGAGAACACTGAGAACCAATTCTATCCTCAAGATTAAGGATATTATTAAAATCTCCACACAAGATCCAAGGGGAATCAGCAGGAGGGGCAATCTGTGCAATCTGAGGCCATAGACTCTCCCTTTCTACTGCAGTATTAAGCCCATAGACCAACGCCAGCCAAAACTTCTTCCTCAAAGCAACATGAGTAACACAAGCATGGATAAATTGAACATCTACTTTGCAACTGTCCACAAAAAAAAAAAAAAAAACACTAGGAAACCAAGTGATCTAAATTCTACCAGACCTGCTAATTGAATGGTTAGTAATCACAGACCAATCATTCCCAAAATTATAAAACACTTTACCAAAATTTTCCCAAAATTACGCAAACAAGCAAGCACAGCGTGCAACTTCTGCTGCGATGGCCTACAAGCAAACGCACATACGCACTGGCCCAGCCATGCGATAGTGCTGTGCTATGCGTAGGCTTGTGCGAGAACTTGCGATGACATCTAAGCACCCAAGCACGCATGCTGCGGTGGTGCTTTGCCATGTGAAGGCACGCACACACGTAAGCACGCTGCTGCGATGGTGCTGCCTTATGCGCCTAGCACACACATGGTGTGCCTAGCACACATATGGTGTGCCTAGGCTTGCGATGAGCTAGCCTAGCCTAGAACTCACATGGCTAGGCCAATGTGATGCTAGGGATATGCTCGTACTTGTTTCTTGTGATTTTGTGGCGCTCGGTCTCGACGCCCTAGGCTCGATATCCGACGTCTGTGTTCGTAAAACTCCGATGACTCATTGAATCCTTCGGATTAATTCTTCATCTCGGATCTGTTAATCGATTGGGTTCGACTAGAAGGGTTCAGTTAAGATTAAGCTGTAATATTAATTATACCTTAATATTACCGATCGGAAGCAGCCTCCACCTAGGCATTCCGATCACTTGACCTTACCGAAGAATTAGCTCTGTAATAATTTTGAACCCTCTATCAGGATAATACACTTTTTGGAAGGACAACATTCCTTTCAATCTCCCACTTGTCCTTCCGGACAAGTGTGCGTACAGTGTATAGCCCATTTCCTATGTCGCTTAATGTCTCTTCGTGAACTATAAGGTAAGATTCATCGTTATCCTTATTACGTTCAGAAGTGTTTATCGATCTCCGAGTTCGACTGTCAATAAGTAGATGATTTCTAAAATCCATTTGAGCACGGCCATGCATTTCACACTTGCTCTTCGAGCGGCCTTGTAAACAACAAAGACATGTTCCTTATTGTTAATAGAGGGACATTCCCAGTCTTGTACTGTAAGTTTCTCTTACTAAGAGGACCTAATCTCCCGAGTGTTCCCGTTATGATCCCCAGCTACGGCAGACGTTAGACAACATCAAAGAGACTAGTACTCAAACAAGAAAACTTCACAATACTCATGGTCGAGGAAATAAGTTCCGATAGCTATAATGAGAAATGTACTTATGACGTTTTAAATCTCTTAAAGTATTCTCATAGCTCGATCCGGTGCAGTTCCAAACTGGCACCTGTGAAAATGATTTATGATTACTATGTCCTTGCAGCAAAAGAAATGGTGCTGTAAATCATACTACACACTAATCTCCAGTGGTCATTAATCGTCCATTAGTATGACCTCGATTAGGGATAATTTTTGATTTAAATATTCAACATTCACTTAACGGGTGTTTCTTTATCCAAGACATGGTCTTGATACCCTGTTTTGAATACTTCCATAAATCGAATGGACTCATTATTTAACTCTAAACCATAATTAAATAGCAATGGAGTGAATAGTAATTTTGCATGAAAAATTAATTACTCCATAAATGAATGGTTTTAATACAGTGTCTTACATTTAAATGACCAGTTTAATTAAAACACATGTACAGGAAATTCAAAGCCAATCTCTAACGTGCTTGATTCCCATTGCCTCAACGTGCTTGTTGTGTTTCACTTGAGGCAAAGGTTTAGTCAAAGGATCGGCCACATTATCATCCGTTCCGATCTTACAAATTCTGATTTCACCTTCGGATTTCCATTCCCTTATCATGTCAAGTATTCGGCTTCAGTTATAGAATCTGCAATGGTGCGTTGCTTGGCACTCTTCCAGCTAAACGCTCCTCCATTTAGCCAAAATATGTACCTTGACTGTGACTTGAAGTCGTCTCTGTCAGTTTGGAAGCTAGCGTAGGTGTAACCTTAAACAACCAAGTCTTTATGGCCACCATAAACCAGGAACTTATATTTGTTCCTTTTCAAGTACTTTTGGATGTTCTTGGCCGTAGTCCAATGCACCTCTCCTGGGTTTGATTGGTATCGACTCGTAGCGCTTAAAGCATACGATACATCTGGCTTGGTACATATCATGGTATACATGATCGACCAAATTAGCGAAGCATATGGAATCGGATCCATTCGCTCTCGCTCAATAGGTGTATGTGGAAACTGTTTCTTGCTGAGAGTTACGCCATGGGACATGGGTAGATGCCCTCTTTTGGCATTCCCCATGTTGAATCGTGCCGGTACTTTATCAATGTAAGTACTCTGGCTTAATCCAATCATCCTCTTAGATCTATCCCTTTAGATCTTGATTCCCAATATGTAATGTGCCTCTGCTAAGTCCTTCATTTGAAAAGCACTTTCCCAACCAGCCCTTTACGGACTCTAGCAATTTTGTGCTGTTTCCAATGAGCAGTATGTCATCGACATATATGACTAGGAATGCGATGTCACTCCCACTGACCTTCT